GCCTAGGGTCACCTTTACGGTTGTGCGCCGACTACGCACCGACCGCGCAATGATATAATGATCGGCAATAGATACGTTCATTAAGTTCGGCACCCCCGTTTCTCCAAGGCTACCTCTAAAGCATGAACAAGGCCCTCAATTCCTCTGCTGACATGATAAATCTCATAATCATTCAACCAATATCTCGAAAATATGCTTGGAATCTTTGCTCATCTATTTGAAAAGCGACACAAATCTGAACTGAATTTTGATATGGTGTCACTTGAACGCGTAAAATCCAGGTGGAAAAAGCAATTATATGTAACTTATTCAGATAAACAAGCTCCATGAATCAATCTACTAATGATCACAGCGAAACGCATATGATTTACTGAATAATATGAGAAAATTGTATTTGCAAGCCGTGTGCAAGTTCTTACGGATACACATATTTGTCTACATGCTTTCACGCTCTGCATTAACGCTAATTCTCCTCTTCATTCTTTACGGCCTCTTTTTGAAATTTTAGAAAGGAACGCTATGGTATGATTGTATCGTTCAACAGCCACACTGCATCCGTCAGCGTGTGCCTTAGCTCAGCTTTTCAATAGAAGTACTCACCAATCATTACTGTCGCTTTGCGAATCATCATATTCTTTGTATTCCGGAGTGGTTCGCTTGGGAGTAGATCTTTTTGAGTACGACGGTAAATCTTTTAACTGAATAAAGTTTTGACATATTGGCAATGTCTTAAGCGTAATACTTACGCTATATTTGGAGCTGGCCCGATTAAGAAGTGATCTGAAATTGTTTTCTGTAGAAGTTGAACTGCAACTGGGCGTCAAAACACTGCTCTCTCGTTTTGCTCTACTGATAAACTTTCCTCTTTAGGTAAATCAAAGTTGTTCAAAAGAAATTTGAATGTTGTGTTCAATTTTACTTGAAGTAAGATGTAAAATATTAGCACGCAAAAAAGTCTCATGCGTCATAAAATCGTCCTAATCTGGAGACGATTTGATGACACTTAAGGTTCACCACTTACTTTTCCATAAACATTTCTGCATGGAGGTATTTATCTCTATCCATATTGATGGCTATAACTCCTGACTTCTCAATTGAGACTGTCACGAGTTTTCTGGTGGATGGATTCAACAAAACCTTAAGTATTCACATGGATTTGAAAGTGTACTCTTCCAAAACCAATTTTTGCAAACCTACCGCTCTCAATGTGCGTTGAAAAGCAGTAAGCTCACGTATGTTCATATCATCTATTGAAATGCTTGATGTTATAAGTTCAAGATGACGTATATTTTGTGAGGATAGCGTAACCTGGAGTCAGCGCTATTGAGATTTAACACCAATTCCAGTATTCTAGACGTTAGAATAGAAGTGTTGTTTCTCTATTTTGATCAAAATTTCCTTAATTTTAGTGTGGTATTTCCTCACCATGAGAGCGCGATATTGATAAGAGCAATCTTTACTTGAGTTTTTACTGAAGTAAGCACCAACATTCTTACAGCCCAAGGTTGCAACGACTAAATCAAAACTTATATCGTTTGTTTTATGCGATCTTCACATACCATAATTTCATCTGATGACAACGTCGCATACTTTTCATGAAGTTCGTGCAGTATAGATGTTATTGTTTCGGATGATACCTGAAGTGGGCATATAACGTTAGAGAAGAAAGTGGAATTACCCATCCTTAAGGAGGCCAACTTACCCCTGTTTTTGGATGGGTGGCAATATTCAAGGCTTCAATTCGTGTGCTAGGTTTAGAAGCCATACTCTTCAACGTATTCTCGAGAAGATGATGGAGAAATACTGCACCAAGATAGTTTGTTACAGTCATCTGATCTTCCATGAGATCTGTGAAAATTGTTACCTAAACAAGATGAATTTTTTGACTGATGATATATGATATAATTTGAAGACCTTTAAATGGCGTTCGCAGGAAAGCAGAAAGTGACTAGACATTTCAGATTGGTATTTCAAAGCTCATGTCCAAGTGATTTACGAGATATGGCCGGCAAAGATCTTGCCATGGATTGCCCAGAGAATGAACATTGCTGCTTCGAAGTTTACAAATCTAAAATGTCTTGCGCTTTCTATTCTCCTGCGAACCTTATTTAATAGAAATACTTTCTACTTTTGGATGCTCTTTAAGTCGACATCTATTGAATTTTTAACACACGGTTTTCGCCAATTCAAATCATTTGCCTCTTAAATGCCATCCATTTGAAGCTCAGACTGATAAAGGTTGCTTGGTTTTTCTAGACAAGGAGGGTAGTATAAAGGTATTTGTTATTTCAACTCCTTTCTCCAACTCCGCGCTTAGAAGAAAAGGGATTTTGTTTTCGAAAAATTTCTTCCGCCAATTAATTCTCAACATCCGCTTAATTTCTAGAAAATTAACAATTGAGCAGTATAAGACTTAGAGAATATGTCAACTGATAAGTTTGAATAAGTCTTACTCAGTTTACTAACATCAAAAAGTATACTTGTGTTCATAATATTTATAACCGATAGAGGTGATCACATCATTGCCCATGTGTTGTCTTATGAGAGAAGGACAAGTGACCGTGATCTTTCAAATTAAAAGCATAAATAATGCGACTTAATACGCTGATTAACTTCGTCTTCCACATTTGCTGAAAGACTCAGGAAGTATGAATTTTTTGTCCTGCGAAAATAGTTGGCGTAATCTGCCATTAGTTGCTTCAAATCCCAAAAATTGCCAAAAATGAAGTGAAGCATTTTGGTGATAGGGCTAGCTCTAGTTAACAAAGCTTTATTTCCCTTTTTTAGACGAATTTGAAGTATTTTAGCCATCAATCTCAAAGTATAAGCTAATTTTCCAAAGGAAAGTTCCATAACTTTGTTCAGGAAAACTTTTCCTACATATGGAAGGCAATTTTTAAATCTGCATTTCAACTAAATGGTATGCCTCTTATTTTGAAGGGTCACGGTCACTAAGTAAATTTTCTTGCTAATATGTCCTTCCGATTGGCATTTTTGGATAGACTACTGTGACAGAGTAAAAAAGGGTTACTTCTTCTTTTCAAATGTTTTCTCAAATCCTGCTTGTTCTTGAGTGAACCTTAGCAGTACTCAGCAATATACGATTCCATTTCCTCTTGGAAGTTTGGAGCCACAAAATTGGGACCAATACAATGTAGGATAGAAAATATCGGGGTTGCTCAAGCTTATCTGACTACATAGCTGATATTAGAACGAGAGAGGTCGATCTCAGTATTGTCCATGTAAAGTCATTAGTGCCCATGCTATTAAAAAAAAGCATGTACTCCTAGACAAGGGAGATCTTTGTTCATGTTGTAGCACTCCACGAAGTGTGTGGGAAGTTCCTGGTGCGGTTTCTTGATATTCATTTCAACACTTGAACCACTAGTCAACATTGATAGGATTTCATTCATTTCTATAATGCTGTACCCCTATTTGATACTTGC